GTCTTGTACTATCTGATAAAAAAACACAACTTTTGTGTCTTATTTGGTCACTCTCTTTGAAATAATATATAATGGGAAAAATTGTGCACTGTACATTATTCAAGTGAAACGCTTGCGAAGCATCTTGCACAACATAGGAGTAATTTTCTAAGAAATCAAACGTATTAAATTCTTCGTAATTAGAAATATTACTTTTAATATATTTTATATATTCTGACTGCATTTTAGTAATAAATGAGTGCGGCTTTAGTACTTGTAATTTATAACACAGATCGTCGATAAATTCACTAACATCAGATGTCACAGTCAGCAATGTCGCTCTGTCTGTTGCTGTCCATGTACTATATTGTATTTGCTCCAGACCAAAGTTCCTGAAGGCTTCGGTCAACATACCTGATAACTGTGTAATATTTGGACAACTTTGACAATCATTTAAATAACATGAGTTTGTTGTATTTTTGCAAACAATCAAACTTAAAAGATCCTTGTAATTTTCAATCAGTTTTTCAAAATTTTTCGTCACGTTTACTATTTCTATTGCATCTAATTGAAGCTTTACATTCTGATGTATAGTGCAAACACACACGGAATGAGTTCCACTTGCTCCTGGTAAAATGCAATGTTTGGGTCGCAGTTTTGCAAAAGCACTAAAACTAATTGAAACATCGGGATGTACCTGTTTAAATAAATTAAACAGTTCTTTTAGGCCAAACATTAAAAGACGTTTCTGAAAATGAGTACGTTTGTCATCAATTTTAACTGATACAACATCTTTCATTCCAGGCTTGATTCTACTAATGAAATCCTCATTAAAAAAATTATTTATCGTCATCATGTGAGTATCTGATATACGTTTTCGTACTGATGTGATTGTTTCACCAAAAATCCCTCCACTTTTTCTAAGTTCTTTAGCTTTTCTTGCTAAATATTTTGTTGCATCGAAAACTTTCACTATTTTGTTGATACTCCAGGACTCTGGACATAAGGTGAGAATTCGAACTTTCAATGGATCAGTACTTATTCATCCTAAAAATTTATTTTTTAGCTCTTAAAATAGTTCTCCTGCTTCTTGAAGAAAAGGCCTTGAACTATCATCCACATTTTTACAATAGTCGTAAGAATCGTTAAGATCGATTTCTGTTGTATCATCACTGTCTATGTCTGCATTTGCACGAAGAGTATCAATTGATCTATCACTTGCACGTTTTAATGAACGTCCCAATCGACAATTATTACATACATGACTATCGTTTGGCAGATTGGGCTTCTTTTTCAATAAATCTAATGAAATTTTTCTTAAGTTTGAGCCCTTATGTGGCTGTACTCCTTCATCTGCGTACGGATTTATGCATCGATCACGATGAATCTTATCTGCCATTGTCGAAATCTGGAATTTTTACTTTGTATCAAAAACTGTCGGAGGTCTAATGGAAAATGAAAGACTGTATCGTAATATCGGCTATGAACAAAATTTTTTGGTGTCACCCTCTTCTCCTCCAGTGGATTGTTTTAATTAGTTTTAAGAAAATTTATTAGCATCAATAAATATTAGAAACAGTCGACAAATCTATAAGATGCAGATCGAAGTCAAATCAGAAATTTAAATATTAAAAAATTATTTGTACTTATCAAAAACACAAGTATATGATTCTATTTAGAGGACGTTTTCATCAAAATTTAATTATTGCAATACCTAATTCTAATTGTAAATATTAGGATAACCACAAAGTAAATAAAAATTTTAGGGTACAACAAATAGGTAACCAATGCAGAACATATATTTTTCTTGTATGTTTTACTCCAAATAACTATTCGCGTAAAATAGCTGACAGCTTATCTTCGGGCGTCTCTTCAAGTTACACAGTGCTTGCTACTTAAGTATAAAGTAAATCAATGTATGTATATAAAACGGCTATACTTAAGCGATAATCATGGCATAATTTACTGCATTTTTATCAAATCGGGCCTGTAGAATTACATGTACAATTAAAATATACTTACAACAAACAGCACTTGTAAAAATATATAATTCTGGCGAATATATCCTGGTTGAGAAAAGTTTGTGAACATGAACAATAAATATAACACATGTGAGTTCTTGATTATCGGCGTTCTTTCATTTAGCTGGCTTGTTTGTAGTTAGCGTGGTGTCAGTTTAGGTACGTGGTTAGTAAATACTTCTCATTTAGAAAATAATATATACTCTAGAGTAGTAATACATAATATAAGTAAATTGTTAATTAAGTCCTATTATTTTTAGTGAATGATTAAATAATGTATATTTAGAAGCTATGTATTGAGTTAATACTTTAGAATCTGATGAGCACAAATGAGTACTTTAATTAAATTAAATATAGTACTTTGATATTAATAGCAATAGAATACTATTGAAATTGAATTCCTATATTATTCAAGTATTGTTCATATCAAGTTTAAATTAACCATGCAACAATTTTTGAGTTAAGGGAACTTTTCTCTAGTACATATACCAAAAGATCCTGCAGGAAAACTTGCAGGATCTCTAGAGGAAGGGTGTATAATATTTCATCAGTATTATTTAATAATGTGTATGGTTGAAATTCTCACTGGCTAAATTTTTACAGTTCATCTCGTACAAAATTTAGTGTGTCACTTATCTTAGAACGATAAATGAAGTTTATGAGGGTATATCGCAAAAAGCTCATCCATCAGATGGCGCAACGATGTCTAAGCGATTCACGTGGACTAGTGTACCTATATATACGATGGTGTTATATGTCGTCTATACGTAGAACCATCTTGTATATGGACACACTAGTCCACGTGAATCGCTTAGGCACAGTCACGCCATCTGTTGGATGAGCTTTTTGCGATATGCCATCATACTAGCAAAATAGACATTAATGACTGTTTATATAGGTTACGGACAGATTTTGTTTTCTTACAGACTGATGACCTTATTAAATTAAGGTTTATTTAAAGTAATTCGCTTGAAAGAAATATGTTTGTACTTATCTCGATGGCTACATGGAATATTGTAACAAAAAAATACGATTTACAGCTGTTTTTTGAGGTTAGAACCAAAATATGACCGTATACTAAAACGCACATGCTTAACTTTACTAAAACAACCAAAAAGAAACATATTTACACACTTTTTTGGCTTGCAATGATAAGATTTCAAGATATTTGCTTATTTCAACATTTTTTGCGGTCTTCATCGACAGTCAGAGTCATGCCATCAGCCGCCATTTTTTATTCTCGGAAAGAGCCACTCGTTATCGTAAACTACAGGCTTCAAGCTACAAAATAGTGATTTGTTATAATTTTTTAGCTGCTTCCATTTTTGGACAGCAGGGGGGGTAAATATTGAAAAGAATGCCCCATTTATATATATATACACCAGTGGGGCTGACGCCCTCTTGCGCGCTCCACGCGCCAACTCCCTACTAACAGGTTGAGTAGACAAAATAACGATATTACCCGTGTAATTATCAATGCCGGCTGAGAATAAGTTCACAACAGCTGAATACGCGACTCACAAAGGAGTTGATAAAACAGATGATAAAATAAATATTAGTTTTCCAATAGAATTTTTAAATAATATCAGAGAAGGTCTTCTACCACAAGAATTAAAATTGAAAATAAATGCTATAGTAATGTTAATAAGAAGTTTAAGTATATGAGACGGTCTCTTTAGAGGCACAAGATTAAAAATAACAAAATTATTTAAGTATAATATAAAAGCAGAAATAATAACGGGAAAAAAAAGGAAGCAAAGTTCATATTCCTAGAATAACATTGAATACTGCCACCTCATCATCATTACCTTTTCTCTTTTATAGAAAACAGTTTTCCTTAGTATTAGCATTTTCTATGTTTATCAACAAATCACAAGGACAGAGTTTTGATTTCTTAGGATTGTATATTAAAAAACCTTTATTCTCTCACATACAATTATATGTTGCTTTATCAGGATGTAAGAATCTAAAAAGAATTTTTATTCAAATTAAAGCTGAAAATAAATCAGAAATAGAAAATGTTATTTAGCAAGACATTTTTCAATAATTCAAAGATATGTAACTTCAAAAATCGTCACATTTAAACAGACATATGTTAATTCATAAAAACCATGAAAAAAATATGTGGAAAATGTGGAAAGGGTTTTAAAAGAACAGATAGGTTCAAACGACACATTAAATGTCACAATATTAAATTAACAGTATGAATTATTGTTTCAAAAGCTTAATTGTGTTTATCTATTCAATTATACCTTCTCTTGAATGCTGTTTTTTTGTAAATAAAGTCCTCAGTTAATCAAGAATTTTATATTTGGGTAAAGTACACATGGACCAGAAAGAGATTCCAACAGTAAAAGTTGAATCAAGTTAAATAAATAATGGTCCTTCAGAGACATATAGTGAGTAAGGGGGAGAGAATAGACAGAGGGGGACCTATGATCAGTGACTTGAAAAACTCTAAAAACGAAGTATGACTTGGGTAATAAATTACATATATTTTTTCACATTTTAGATGGTAAAATATACTATAAATAATTTTTTGGGGGGGGAGGTGGAGGGGGAGCTGAGGAGGAGCGGGGAGAGGTTACTCAAATATAATTTGATCCAAAATAACGTAAAAACAAGCAAATAACTATGTAAATCGAGCGGGAGCTGAGGGGGAGCGGGGGGGGGGGGCTGAGACTGACTTTCGTTAAAACAACTATATAATATAAGGAGATACATATAAAAGGCTTTTAGTGCCTGCATTCAAGGGCAATAATCTTTATATTCTGAGGCTTGCTTTTCTTCGTCCTATGGGATGTACAAATTTTTTTACCAATTATGTATCAAAAAGTACCTACTTTTGACACAGTATGGTAATAACAGTAACGTACTCCCTTCTATCAGTCGTGCCTTATAATTAAAGGCCTTATAAAACTGCGTTTTGACATAAATTAAGCCACTTGTTAGTATTGTAATTTGATTTTTTCCAAGAATATATTACACAACTTTTTATTCGTACAAAAAAAAGAAAAAAATAATGTAAATTTAAGATTCGAATATATTTTTATTTGATTTAATCCAAAGTGCTGAGATCAAAAGTGTAACATTTTTGATTTACAAGGCAGTCATGAATCAAGTTAAGTCCAAATGCTTCAATTTTTCTGTAATAAAAAAAGCAAGAAAGTTAATTCTCGATCAGGTAGAAAATGTAGCAACTGGGACTTACATCATTATGATTATCTGTGCGTCTGGTACTAGCAGGATAGTAATCAACAAGCAGCGGTCGAGGTCTTTGACCAATACCTAACGGCTGTTTTAACCCACACGATTGCTCTTCATTCATTATAACGGATACCAAAGTCTTTATAACTTGCTCATCTTGATGTGACAAAGCTTTGTTGGGATTTTTCATGCGGCGCAAGAATAAAGCATTCCATTTTTGTCTTAAATGTAAAATAAGTTGAGCGGCTTCAGGATCTAACTTGAAAACAATCCAGTCATCAAGCTTTAACAGAGTAGAACCTTCATGGCTTTCATCCATTTCCGAATCAGATTCACTTTCAGGTGCATCTAGGAAAACAAAAACAATTTTGACATAAAAATACAATTAATATAATAAAACAGCAATAAAATATAAAAATCAAGTCAGAGATTAAATAAACGAATAAATGAATGCAAAATTAAAAAATGTAATAACAAAAAAAAAAACAATGGCATTAATTAATAAATAAATGAATATGATCAAATGACATGTTATAGTTTAATTTACATTCTGCCTCATGTATAACTTCCATAGGTAACCGAGCTGGTCCACTGAATAATGCAACAGTAAGTGGATTTACTAAGGTAACAGTTCTAGCATGATAAAATCGTCCAGAACGACTCATTTCTTCATATAGCATCCAATCACAAGGTAAGGATTGCACATTTGCTGCATGCACTTGAGCTGAAGTTGTTTTTATTGAATTTGAATAGTCTCTTAAGGTTGATGATGGATGAAAAAATACCTTGACTTCTTTTCTATGGATGCATTCGAGAATAAATTTAATATTTACAACTGATTTTTACAAATGTATACAAAATTTCAAACTTATAGTTGGATTTTGCCCATATATATTTAAAAAGTTAAAATGACATTAAAAAGCAAAAATAATGTAAGCTGATACTAACTGCGTTCGTAACTGAGCATGCTCTCTATCCACTCGGATCAAATTTGGATATAGCCCAGCGGTTAAAGCAGCCTTGACAATAGCCCAACTTTCGGAGTTAGAGTTCAAATCGCGAATATCGCCAGAGCCTCTGGCTTTTACAAAACCAGATGCTCGTAATTGACCTAAAAGCTGAGTCCTCATGCCTACAACAATTTCCATGACAGCAGAGGATACAAAATTTTTTTCACAAAACATTTTTTCCCATCCATTAGCTCTTGCATTTTGCCAATTTTGAAAGGCTCGCAGCACAGCCATATGATCCGAGTAAGTACCAGCTGCAAACTCTTTACGGGCTAAAATAGCTAACTGTTTCTTTGATGGCTGGTATGGTACAACAAATGGATCTCTAAAGAAAAAAAAAATTACTTCAAACTTGGTTTTTTAAACGACCATGCAGACCCAAGCGGAAATGTTTTTTGTGATTAAGTAACGAAAAAAAAAAAAAAAATAACTATAATAATACGAAATATTCCCGTGAGCAGTTGTAGTATAGTGCCATTCTGCTTGAACACCAAAGTCGTGCTCATGATTGACGAGATTTGAAATCTGATATTTGTTTTTAAAGTGTTGTTTCGCACCATCTGTAATGTAAATTATCTTCTTAATATTTTTCACTTGTTTTTTAATTTCAGGAATTAGTTGCTTTTGTACAGTGTATACTGCAGCAGTGTCGTGTCTTGTACTATCTGATAAAAAAACACAACTTTTGTGTCTTATTTGGTCACTCTCTTTGAAATAATATATAATGGGAAAAATTGTGCACTGTGCATTATTAAAGTGAAACGCNGACAAAAAACAAAAAAAAAATAATAATAACTAATAATAAGTATTTAAAAGTTTTAATAACAACTTGTGACAGACAATTGTGAATAATAAGTGTTATTACTTGTATCAAATCTAGACATTAAAAATTGTTATTATTTTTTTATATTTCCTACTAATTTTTAAAAATAATTATTACCAACTTATCGAACAAAATTATTTCCGCTGGGGGAAGTAACAAAAATTAAATAGAAAATATACCTACTTGTACGCTAAGCTGCAGACAATCGTCAAAATAGGATCAAGACACTTTAGTGTAACAGCATAGAGTAGCATTTTTCCTAAGCGTGGTTCAATCGGCAGATCAAGCAAATGGTTTCCTAACTCGGTGAGATCTTCCCAAGGATCTAGCGCATCTATGGTCTTCAGCAGCTGAACGGCATTGCGAGTAATAACGTTTGCAGGTGGCTCAATTGCTCTTTCAAGAAACTCAGCAATTGGAGTGTTTCCAGGAGCCAAATGTTTAGTGTAAAGGCAAAGCTGCTGTAACGGCAAACGTAACATTTCAGGGGTCTGATAAAGCTGCATACTGTTATAACGCAGGGACGAGTAGAGCCGATAGCATACGCCTTTCTGGCATCTACCAGCTCTGCCTCTTCGCTGCTTCGCGCAGGCCTGAGATATCCAATTTGACTTGAGTGTACAAACACTGGATATTGCGTCAAATGATTTCTCCTTCGCTTTACCTGAGTCAATCACGTACACGACATCGTCGATCGTTATGCTCGTTTCCGCAATATTGGTAGACAGTATAATTTTTCGCGTGCCTGGCGGCACAGCTCGAAACACTCTCTTTTGATCACTGGTTTGCATATTGGAGTGTAATATGTACAAATTGAAGCGAAGGTTGTGGTTCATTTTACTTTCACTATTAATCCTTTCCCTCATAGTAACGATGTCGTCGTAACCCGGTAAAAATACCAGCACAGCCCCCATAGGCATTGTTGAGTGAATACACACGATTAATGCCAGCAATAAGTCGTAGTCGACGTTATCATCGTTAAAGCTGTAATGGTAGGCGTCAAGTAGAAGTTTTTCGTCTTCCGACAATAAAGCGTCCTTGGCATTAGACGTTTCTTGTGACTTCTGTAACGTGATTGAGCAGTTAAGTGTCCCCATGTAAGCCTCTATTAATTCAGCACACTCAGTCTGATTCATGTTCTTTGCCCAGTCTAAGGCAATCCAATCGTTGCAAGACTTAATATTTAAATTTGCACCAAAACTAAGAAGCTGCTCAACAGTATTCAAAGATCCACGCCCAGCAGCAACCATGAGAGGACTCACAAATGTCTTTGAATGTTGATAGTCCACAGAGATATTTTCTGAATGAATCAGATGTAAAATTTGAGAGAAATTTTCATTACTGCCATTCAACCAGGCATTTGCTATTAATTTGTCCATTTCTTCAACTAACCATACTTCTGGCTCAATGGTGTCTTGGACACTTGTTTCAGCTAAACTGTCTCGCTGTTGCTGCTGACTTGGTTTCAAGATAGGTACTACAAACATATTTTTTGTCTCACTGTTTGATGGAATTGAGAGGGTTGATTCTTGAGACTTGTGCTGTGTCCATGATTCTAACAGTTTACACCGATCCTTATTGCTTGTTAATTCTTTCATCTTGACCAGCATTTCTTTTGTTGTGTAATTCGTAAGCCTCAAAATGTCTTCTAAGTAAAAAGTGTCAACATCATGCAGGAGACCAGGCACATTTATTACCGGACAGTTGTTAAAATATTTAACAAAAATAGAAGTATCAATGGTGGCACTCATCAAAATAATTTTGAGGGCTCTATATTTAACAAGGGCATCTTTTAATGCAATCAAAAGGAAGTCGCAAAATCTATCCCTTTCATGCACTTCGTCAATAATTATGTGTGTAATTATAGCTAGCGCGGAATCATCACCCATTAAAGTCCTCAAAAGCACACCATTAGTACAGTATGTTAAGAGAGTCTTTGGTGCAACTCGGCTTTCCAACCTAATTTGATAACCAAAAGTCTGACCAACTTTTTCATCTCTCTCATAAGCTACTCTTTCAGCCACTGACACAGCAGACAATCTTCTTGGCTGAGTACAAATTATTCTACATGCTTGATTATTTTGCTGACAATTTTCTAAGATGAATTGAGGTACTTGCGTAGTTTTACCACAGCCTGTTTCTCCAGCAACAATGATGACTTGATTAGAAGCCAGTCTCTGTAAAATTTCATCACGCCAAGCCATGATACATAGAGAATTGCGATAACTGAGTACATCATAATTTGTTTTTAATTTAGGTACTTGTGGGATTGTGTTATTAAGAAGTCCCATTGCTTTGGTATTAAAATTCACTAAAATAAAATGAAACTTATTACAACATATAACAATTAGGAAAAACTATTGTAACATTTACTATTAACAAATAAAAGCTATATACACGCCTACGGCAGTTGAAGAATAGTCCATTGCCCGGAGACAAAAAAAAATACGATTTAATCTTATGTTTTCCAGTAGAGAAAAAATTGGTCATTCCCCTTCAGAATTGCCCTAGGAATACGGAAAAAGTAATTTTGTCTAAATCATAAAATTGGCATCATTTATTTATTTTACAATTCATTAAAAAATGCCACTTTTTTAATTAGTTTTTTTGCTCATTTCTCCATTTCAGTGGCTCTTAGAGAAATTTTTCGACCCATAATCTCTTTGTTATAAAATTTTCTATGAAATACATACTTTTGCAAATCCATTGTTTATTGTTGATAACACGTTGATGGCAAGAAAGTGCAAGAATAAATTTTTTTGTACCAAAAAACTTTCGATCGACGGAAAAAAGCTATCATGTTATTTTAAACATAGTCTCTAGAAAATATAGATATTAAGTTGCAGAACACATAGCTATTTGTAAAATTGCAAAATTATTGTTAGTTTCCCGTTGATTAATTCTTCAAAATGAAACTTTGAAGTGATACAACAAACTTCACGGTCAGTTTATCGACATTTTGCTTCGATAAAAACATTGTACTTTATATTGTTAAAAATAACAAACAAAAAAAAATTAATTTTTGTGAGTTTTGACGTTTTGCCAGCAAAAATTGTATTTTGCATCTTATACAATTGCAAATATCTCAGTCAATTTTCCATATTTTCTTTCTTAACAAACGTTATTAGATTTGTCATAAAAAATATGGATTTAAAAAAAATAGAATGCTCTAGCTTACTCTGAAGCCGAGATACAAGAAATTGATGTTTTTTGCAATAACGCACTAATAACTGACATTTTTATTGCGAAAAATTTGTGTATCATTTTCATGTAGGGTAACTGTGGGTATTACTGGCACTTTTTTGACTTAGGCTACTTTAATGTATGGTATGAAAAAGAAAAATGTATCAATCTAATACATTTTTTTTTTATTATTAACTTTATTTAATAACAAACAATAAGTGATTTTTTAAATGGACATAAATAAGATCATATTATTAATAATAAATATTTTTGTGAACAGTCAACATGCTCCTATTAGTGACACCACGCACGTATTACTGGCCCCCCAATACTGTCTAAATTTGAATTACTGGCCGTGTAATACTGGCAAATATAATTTTCTAGTAATAATCTAATAAAATCAATGATAATTGAAAAAAAATAATAAGATTTAGCTATCAATGTGTTTTAATTTTGTTTGCAATTTGCTTATTTGGTTCTACAAATCTTTTTGTAATTTTATCTTCTCTAAAATTTCTTCTTGGGATTTCTTTTTTTGTTCAATTTCATTAATTTTTTTTTGGTGTGTAACAAGTTTGGTCTTTTCTTTTTCGATTCTAGTTTGTTGTTTCATAAAATTTTTTTTTTGCTTGATTAATTTGTCGTTTTCTCTATTTATTTGTAACATTTTTGTTTTCTCTGATCTCATTTTTTTTTCTGCTGCTGTTTCCAATTTAACAACTTTATTTTTTTTTTCTTTACTGATTTTTTGCCACAGAGAACCTGATATAACTGATGGAGTTTTAGTTATACTCTTCTTTTTGTTTACTGATTGAAAAATATCTTCAGAAGGCCAAGACAAATACTGAGCAAGAGGCTTTAGTGGTTGATGACTTTGTTAGGTTAGATTGCTGTACCTTACCGAATCACTGCCAGTAATTCAACAGTAGCGACAAATATTGTACCTAATACTGGCATCAATATTTAAAAAAGAAAAAACATTCAAAATTAATTTTCATTGCATTTATCGAAAAATTAAGGTTTCTTTTTTAATTCAATAAATTGTTTCTTGTGTAATTTTGCCATGTTTATTAATAAAAATACCATTGAAAGCAAGTAATTTTTGCTGTAAAATTCAATTTTTTGGGAGGAAATCACACACCTGTCTATGTTAACATTGATAAAATAATTCAAATTTATGTTTCGTACTAATATGCGATTGAATAATATTTGTGCAGTTATCTACTTTACGAAAAAATTTTTTTTGTATATTCATCATTATAAAATAATTTTGTATAAATTTATTTCTATTGACTGCCAGTGATTGGAGCAGTACCAGTAATATCCACAGTTACCCTATTTCTGCATCACACTGCCGGAGCACATTATTAATTTCATTGAAAGTGAAGCTAAAAAAAATCAAGAAAGTCACATATTAACCGCCGGGGCAGCAGGGGACAGCTCAGTGCTCCTATTGGAAATATGCCTGTACATAGAGCGGCGTTGGCTCAATGGTTAGCGTGCTAGCCTCGGAAACAACACGTTCGAAGGGTGGCAGGTTCGATTCCCAGTGAGGGCACTTGGATTTTTTTCTGTGAGTTCTCGTCGGAAAAAGAATCTAAAAGAATCTATGATTCCGAAAAATGCGTTTATGCGTAACAAAAATGATTCTGAGAAGACAAAAATAAAATGTGGTCGTATGACAAAATAATATGTGCTCTACACAACAAATGTCCTATGTAATTGTAATACATTGTTAATCTATGTAATACTTTGGCTACAATATAATATATGTACTTGTGTATGAAAAAGGCCACCATGTACTTTGTGTCATGGCAAAAAATGTACCCACAAAATTTGCCGATAAAAATTAACCAATTTTTTAATATGCCTGTACCACGTGACATGGTGATACATATATGACACTGAGAGAAAAAGTAGAAGAGGTGTTATGGGAGAAGTTAAGTTTTTATTGTTTTTTGTGGTGTAAAAGGTGTTGAATACAAAAATTTACTGGATTACATATTTTTAACGTTATGAGAGTTAGGTTGTTATTTTTTCATACGATGAAATCGTTTATTAAGGCCGTAAACAGCGTTTTGAAGGTACGAAGTGCAGTTAACCCTACATTGGGCTACTCGTTTCTGCTTCGGCTGCTGTCACTGTTGCGCTTGCTCAGATGTAAATAAGCAGCTTGATGTTAGGTTCAACTGTACTTCGTAGCTATAAAAAGAAGTTTTCGGCCTTAATAAACGATTTCATCATACAAAAAAAAAATCTAACTCTTACAATGTTAAAAATATGTACTCTGGAAACTTATTGTGTTCAACACCTTTTCTACCTCGAAAAAAAAATAAAAACTTAATTTCTCCCATGAGGCTTGTACTACTTTTCCTCTCAGTGTCATATATATCGCCATGTCTCGTGGTACAAGCATATTCCCAATAGGTATCGGTACCACTCTCTTGCGACTTGTGACTGGGTGGCCGACTGCCCGCAACTGGTTGCATTGCACATGTGTCAAAACACGGGCTACAGCTGGTGGGCCTGGTGTTTGAATTTCAACTAGTTGTTTTACATAAGTATACACTTACAAACGTAGAATTCAATATTGAACATGCATAATTAACAAATTAAATACAAAAAGTGATTGCAATAAGAAATGTATATTCTTTATATTGTTAAAAATAACAAACAAAAAAAAATTAATTTTTGTGAGTTTTGACGTTTTGCCAGCAAAAATTGTATTTTGCATCTTATACAATTGCAAATATCTCAGTCAATTTTCCATATTTTCTTTCTTAACAAACGTTATTAGATTTGTCATAAAAAATATGGATTTAAAAAAAATAGAATGCTCTAGCTTACTCTGAAGCCGAGATACAAGAAATTGATGTTTTTTGCAATAACGCACTAATAACTGACATTTTTATTGCGAAAAATTTGTGTATCATTTTCATGTAGGGTAACTGTGGGTATTACTGGCACTTTTTTGACTTAGGCTACTTTAATGTATGGTATGAAAAAGAAAAATGTATCAATCTAATACATTTTTTTTTTATTATTAACTTTATTGTGCTATGAGGTTGGTATGTACCATACCTGGTTGAATTGGATTTGCTCTTACTGACAGTATGCTTTTCTTTTAAATCGTTGACTCGGCATTGTGGTGTTAGGTTTCAACGATTGGTATGTGTAGAGAGGTGTTGATATATCGTATGCCAAGCTGGCGTTGACCTACAGTTTGAATTTATATGATGTAATATTGTCGNAAATTTTGTTCTTGCTTGATTAATGTGTCGTTTTCTTTTTTTATTTGTAACATTTTTGTTTTCTCTGATCTCATTTTTTTTTTCTCCTGTTTCCAATTTTACAAATCTTTTTGTAATTTTATCTTCTCTAAAATTTCTTCTTGGAATTTCTTTTTTTGTTCAATTTCATTAATTTTTTTTTGGTGTGTAACAAGTTTGGTCTTTTCTTTTTCGATTCTAGTTTGTTGTTTCATAAAATTTTTTTTTTGCTTGATTAATTTGTCGTTTTCTCTATTTATTTGTAACATTTTTGTTTTCTCTGATCTCATTTTTTTTTCTGCTGCTGTTTCCAATTTAACAACTTTATTTTTTTTTTCTTTACTGATTTTTTGCCACAGAGAACCTGATATAACTGATAGAGTTTTAGTTATACTCTTCTTTTTGTTTACTGATTGAAAAATATCTTCAGAAGGCCAAGACAAATACTGAGCAAGAGGCTTTAGTGGTTGATGACTTTGTTAGGTTAGATTGCTGTACCTTACCGAATCACTGCCAGTAATTCAACAGTAGCGACAAATATTGTACCTAATACTGGCATCAATATTTAAAAAAGAAAAAACATTCAAAATTAATTTTCATTGCATTTATCGAAAAATTAAGGTTTCTTTTTTAATTCAATAAATTGTTTCTTGTGTAATTTTGCCATGTTTATTAATAAAAATACCATTGAAAGCAAGTAATTTTTGCTGTAAAATTCAATTTTTTGGGAGGAAATCACACACCTGTCTATGTTAACATTGATAAAATAATTCAAATTTATGTTTCGTACTAATATGCGATTGAATAATATTTGTGCAGTTATCTACTTTACGAAAAAATTTTTTTTGTATATTCATCA